CCTCATCAAGGGGGATTTGCCAGAATCCCTGCAACAACTCTAACGTTGAGAATACTTTGTTTCGACCAATACTTTGCAACAAATCATTTAGAATTGGAAGTGGGAAACGATCAGGTATTGTTACTCTGTTAAGCTTGCGATAATCGATTACAGGTCTCCAAGTCCCATCTCACTTTGGTACAAGAATCAATGGAGCGTTCCATGGCGAATTACTCGATTCAATTACATCACTCTGTATCATTTCCTCTACAAGTCTATCGGTTTCTGCTCTCTGAGAATGGGGAAGACGGTAAGCTGGTACATAAATAGGCGTAGTTCCTTGTTCAAGGGGAATTTTATGTGTAATAAGAGGAGTGAGACCTAATTTTTCTCCTGGTAGAGCAACAACAGCTCTATTCCTGTTCAAATTTTCCAAAAGCTGAGCCACAGAGTCAGGAAAATCAGTAGGACTGAGGTGTTGCGCTTGCACCTCTGGCTGAGATCCCTGTTCTCCTGGTGTGAGTGTACAAATAGTATGATCCATGGAGACCTCATCCACAACCCGCACCGGTAACGAGTAATGGGCAAAATCTACAACATGGGTACCAGACTGGAGATGGATGTCGGCATTACTAGTGTTTGCAATAAATAATGTAACAGTATCATCCTGCACTGTGTGCCAGGAGGGTTCAACAAATGTACCATTCACTTTACATGTTTCACTTTCCGCAATCACATCCGACAACTCAGGCACTCCCTGAACCTTAACTCTTATTCTGGTGAGAGAATGAGGGTGTAGCACAGTGTCAGTAGCCGTGGAACCACTGACTTCAGAGATGGAAGCTGCCAGGTGAGCGAGACAACGAGAATCCGTTAGGGCGTCCCCTTCCAGAAAGTCCCAATACTCATTCTCCTTAACAACTGCACAACAACTATGCTTCAATCGAGTGCCTGTTTTCTCGGGTATGCTACCACGACAATGATCTGACAAACCTACGCTAGCAAGGCGGGTGTCAACAAAATTAACGTAATCTGATTGAAGGTTGAACTCATGGCCCTGTCGATACATGCTACACAAGGGTATGACGTGGTCTTTAATTCTTATGTTCCAACGATGGGGAAATAATGCAATATTTTCATCAATCATGGTGTACAGACCTAAGAGAATGTCTCCAGGAAAATGAATAATGTCAACAACTAAACATGTTATGGACAATGTGACATCATTGAACCTGAGTGGGAGGTTAATTTCACCCTGAACTTTTACTTTATTTCCTGAAATACCATTTAGAAAAGGTATGTGTGACTGTTTTAAAGTAGTAGGGTGCTTACTTTCAATGTCTCTAAGAGCTGAGGGCTTGACAATATTAATTTTTGCACCTGAGTCAAGAAAAACTTTTAAAACTCTACCATGTACAATGGCTGAGACAAGGGGACCATCACTTGAGACTGGACAAGTTACTACTTGTGACTTATGTTGTCTGGGATATCTGCGTCTTGTTTGTGTCAAATTTACTGTGGATCCGTCAACATCTACAACTGGTCTAGAGTCAGTGTCCTCCTCTGTCAAGTGTCCAAATCTATTTTGGGTAGCTACTGAATACACAGGGAGGGCACTAGGATTGGCTAGCTTGAATTGGTTAGCGGATGGCTTTGGGGGTTTCCCGACGACATGGAGTGAACATTCTGAGCTCCAGCATTCTGTGACCGAGCATTGTAATTTGAAGTGGCATTATAACTGGGCTGGGAGTTGTGATTACGTGAGTTCTGATAATGTCTTGGACGCTGTGCGCCTCGCCAAGACTGACCATGGGAGTTACGAGGTGGAGATGTCCTTTGCCTAGCTCTACAATCCGCAGTGTGGTGACCAACTTGTTTATGGTACGTGCAATATGGGAGCCTAGAATGATTAGATTGACGAGGGGACCGAGAGAATTGTCTAGGAGGTGATGATCTAGGGGCGGACCAACAGTCCCTTGCGAGGTGGTTACTCTTACCACAATGCCAACATGAGGGAGTGGATGGTTGTGGACTATGGCGTTTCGGCAATTTATGAGGCGCGAATTTGACTGGGGGCTACGAGCATGGGTACGCTTCTGCGACCAAGAGTTTTGAGAGTTTGTGGGAGGATGCTGAGAGCTTGTTACTACATTTACAGTATCAGAGGGTGGCAACAGTTGAGCACTTCGGGGAGCTAGTTTATCGGCGGCATTGTTAATCGTCTCAAATACTTCACCAATTTCATGTTTAACACCAAAATTTTGTTGCTCAACGATTGGTTTAGTATGCTCGGGGGTAAAATGCATTAAAGTACCAAATGCTATCATTTTGGCCATAGCCTCAGGGGACAGATTATTGTCTTTATCTAACCAAGTCGAATTATTCATAGCAGAAACTAAGGCATACAGATACTGATCGAGACGGCTAGTAAACGCATTGAACGATTCACCAGGCTGCATGGTGGCATTGGCAATTTTCTTGCATAACCTATACGGGTCGAGGTCTCCTTTATTAACAAAACGCCGGCGAAAGAAATCCTTAAAATCAGACCATGACTGGAGGCTAACAATGGCTTTCTCGTCAACAACGAAACGTGCATCACCTTTGGTTGTGTCCACAGCTGACCGTGCAATTGCTAAGTATTCAGCATCAGTAGGCTTAGAAAAACGTGCAACTGTTTTCGCTTCAACCTTACTAAACCATGATTCTAATAAGCGCGATTCCCCAGCAAAAAGAGGAATAGTCATTTCCTGAGCTGATCTCTGGCCATTGGGATGAGCAACTGCTCCTGTTGAATCTGAAGGGGTTTCAACAGTGGTAGGCATTGTCACAGCCGTGGAAGTAATATTTGAACGCAGATTATAATTAAGTGCACCTGGCATCAGAAATAGTATACACAAAAATAAACACTGAAAAAAAATCAACTTGGCTAAAGTAAAAAAATGGCAGAAATAAAATTATTAAATTGGGCTAGGCAAGAAAATAATTAAGAACAAGCAAATTGTAAACTAAATTTAGCAATCTTTCATTAAAAAATGACTGGAATTAGATGTATGTAAATTAATTAAACCAGACTAAGCACATCAATTTAGAATAAAAACTGTAAAATGCAATTACAAAATTTCATTAAAAAGATTCAACACAACAAGTGGCAATGCAAGAAATATGGATGTAGCACATAAACTGGACACAGGAATGTATATAACTGCTATGGTAAAAAATTAAAATAAAATGCTTAAAGGATAAATTTCAAGTTAGGTCTGGAGAAATATCAAAAATTTTCTGTTCTATTGTCTATGGAAATCTCAAAAACAAATTTCTATTATGCAAAATAAACTGCTAGAAACAATTATTTCTTACTTCTCTCACCTTGGAATTCACTAATGACACTAGTAACAATTAATGAATAATGGAATCAATGCAGGGAATATTGAAAGGACTCAGAGAAACTGTGGACCTGGAGTACTAAACCGGCTCCAATATTTAACAAGTCACTGAAAGGTTAATTCATAAGATATTTTGGATATAGTTACGTTAAACCTCATTAAATCATAGCACACGATATCTTAGCTCATAATTACTTAACTCAGGGCTGCAGGATTTGCAATATAACAGTGGCCAAAACGAAAAACGGCAACGAGACGTGTGAAGAGCACATGTGAGGTGTGTTTACAAACTGGTGCGATGGCAGCGCTCCTGGCGGCGGTGGCGCGAAGCTCCATGGAGACCCCCAAGCTCGGAATTGATGTTGGGAGCGCGAAGATAAACTCGGAGACGACGATATTGCGACGATGGCGGTGGAGAACACAATTTTCTAGGAGAAGTTCACACAAAACGATGTAGCAGGGGCTGGTGGCGAGATGTGTGAGCTTGGGAGGGAGGCAAGGTGGCGACACTAGTCAAACAATTGTAGTCTTTTTTTTTCACCAATTCCTCTTGAATAACTGTACAACACCCACAATAATCAGTTGATACTTGCGACGATGGCTGACGACGATTTCAGTAGCTTGAACACTCACAAAGCTTGATACTGTCAGCTTAGGTGGCGGTGGTGGTGGTGATGCAGGTTCCCACGTGGTGGCGCAAGATTCAAAAATGGCTGGCGCGGAAGCTTCCTTCCTCCTCACTGATGAATGAGCGTTCTCACAGGAAAATATTGACCCTTACTTCTGAAACGTTGGCCTGGAGTAGTGGTTGATGGCAGGACCCCGGTCTGGCACAATATTTGATGCGTGGGTGGCAGGATGGCGGCTTGTGGCGGTGGCGGTGGCGGCGGTGGCGGCTGGAACACGAGGCGATGCTGGGTACTTGAACTTTTGTTTCCAGAAAAAATTTCTGGGTCCCACTGCTGCTACCAGTATTCGTTTGACTTTTTCGGGTTGAATGTAGACACAGTAGTCGCTTCTGTATATATTTATTGACCGAGACAACAAGGTATATATCTGGCCAACCGAGGTCCACCTTACTCTGGGTCTGAGAGAGAACTGAGGCTGCTGGGAGCATGGCTTGATGCTCCTCTGTCTGGCATGACGTCAGAGGCCTACTTGCCTGTGATTGGTTACATTTCAACTGACATAGAATTTGAGTATAACACATGTGCCTGTGAGTAGGGTCAGAAAGAGGACCACTCTAGAAAGAGAACGCAGACGACTGTACAGGAGAAGGAAACATATCGAGGAAATTCTTAAATGGACACGACTATCACAAGCAGGGAAAATAAATTTAAACACGGAGATCGAAGAAATACAGCATTCGCTGAAGCGATCATACGAACCTGAGGAAATTGAATGGGAACAAAAAGCTATACAAGAAATAAAGAAAAATCCAAAATATTTTGTCATATAAGCAAAATAAAAAAAATGAAACTAAATAAAAAACAGTATTGAACCTTTACTTACAACAGAACACAACAACATAAGAACATAAGAACACAAGAATGAAGGTAACTGCAGAATGCCTATTGGCCCATATGAGGCAGCTCCTATTCATATCCACCTAATCTCATTCAACACAATTTGAAGGTTCGTACACAGAGGACGGCAATGAAATTAGTGAAATTCCAAAAGGAAAAGTATGAGGCTATGTTTAGCACACCAATAAACAACATAAAAGTTAAAGATCCAGACAGTGTCTTTATGAATGACATCCAAGGTCCAGATAATATAATCAATATGAACACGAACTCAGAAGATTTTGAAAGAGAAATTGACAACATGCCCATGCACGCAGCCCCTGATCCTGACTCATGAAATTCAATATTCATAAAGAAATGTAAAGTACCAGGAGTGCGAGTGCTCAGTGTAATACGGAGAAAGAGGCTCAATACTGGGGGGAGATACCAGCAGCACTTAAATCAGCATATATATAGCTCCTCTGCACAAGGGAGGTAGTAAAGCTTTGACCAAATTTTTTTTCAGACCAGTTGCACTTAAAATGCACATAATAAAAGTTTTTGAAAGAGTGATTTGGAATCAAATTTCCAATTTTACGGAAAATAACGAACTTCATTGCACAGGACAACATGGATTTAGAGCAGGAAGATCCTGTCTGTCACGGTTACTCACCCACTATGAGAGAATCACAGAAGCCTTAGAGGAAAAGCAAAATGCAAATGTTGTATACACAGATTTTGCAAAGGCATTCGACAAATGTGACGATGGAGTGATAGCCCATACAATGAGATCAATAAGAATAACGGATAAAGTGGGGTATTGGATTTTCCACTCTTTGTCAAACATAATGCAGAGTGACGGTCAGACAAGTAAGATCAAGTCTAAGTGCAGTGAAAAGCTCTGTTGCACAGAACACAGTCCTTAGATATAGACAAAAACACTAGTCACAGCTTCGTGTCATCCTTGCAGATGAAACCAAAATCAGCATTAAAATTGCCACTGTCGAAGACACTGAAAAACTACGGGCAGATATAAATAAAATATTCGATTCGGCAACTGAAAATAAGTGTTTAACGGTGGTAAGTTCCAGGTACTTACCACCTTCGTACAAGGTGGTGGCTTACCACCTTCTACACCCCTCACTAAATGGCCTTGAAATCTTGTCACAACAATATTGTACAACCAGCCCTAAAATTATATAAAATTAAGCCTATGGCTGAAACACCAGAAACATTTACATAAATATTCCACAACACAAGAAGAAATCAATCTCTCACCTTACACGCCAATAAGCTTTCAAGCACTTCCCTTATACATTCCTGTGTATCCACCATAAACCTCTGTTCTGCTTCTAGAGGCTCACTACCATATGTATCTCTAAGTTCTCCAAAATACCCCAAAAGGCTCTGCTGCAGTCCTCCCAAACTTCTGCACAACGAAGTCCTCCTCAAACACCAGTGATGCTTCACCACCGATCCTACAGAGACACGTGAAACTTCTCTTCACTGCTCCTTTACACAGCTTGAGGTCCACTCCTCACTATGGAGCTCTGCTCTCCCACAGTGTTTAGCATACACTTTTCCAGCCTCGAAGTTTCTTTCATTAACTCCTTCCCTGGCCTCGAAGTTCTTCTATCAACTCCTCCCCAAACAAACCTGCAATTTCATTGCCATGCCAATAAAATTATTCCCCTACTAAAACATAATTAAATGTATTCAGAGAAAGGAAAACTCCTCCATCCGACATCTCCTTCAACACTATCACGTTGCCGCGACGGTCCTCCCCCGCCTTGGGCGAGTCCATCTTCAACGTGTCCAGACATGCTGCTGGTCGTTGCCTTCGCAGTGGGCTTTCCCCCCTTAGTCACCCACTGACATTTGGCGAGGATAGACGTACCGCCGTTCTCTCCACCGTGTCGTTTTATCTCTATTCTCATATTTCAGCTTACTGCCTTAATAAAATATTTATCCTACATATGTAAACATCTGCCATGATCGCTGGGCACACGATCAAGCACAGTTAACCACTGTAACAATTGCTATATGAGCTTACCACAGAATCTGTATCTCGAGGGCGCTCAGAGGGTGCTCAGAGGTTCCCAGAGGTCAGCCTCTCAGACCTCCACCTAAAGTTTCTTTATGACGTCCTCACAGCTCTTCTGCTCTTGACTTAGGTACATTAAGTCATCCTCAGTCATGACACATTAACGCCTGCTTGATTACCTCTTCTTGTAGGAGCACACGGCTAGGGGTTTCCCTCCTCTGCCAGGAACTCAAACACAGCACTACCCCCTCTCACGAGTTCTGTTGCTCATGTAAGGTCAAGATGTCCCGCGAACCTCACATCATGTCAGCAAAGTATTGACATCTCATTCCATGTCTTTTATTTACATGTTCATCCTCTGCTATTATTTAATAAAAAGTCACCGACGTTTCTAGCATATATATATATATATATATATATATATATATATATATATATATATATATATATATATATATATATATATATATATATATATATTTATATATATATATATATTTATATATATATGTATATATATATAAATATATATATATATATATATATATATATATATATATATATATATATATATATATATATATATATATATATATATATATTATTAAATAGGACCGAAAAAGTAAGATTAATAATTCTAACACGAATTTTCTCAATATTTCTTATTTTTCTTTTCACTCTTGATGGTAATTGAAAAATCAATTCTCCAAAATTCATTTTTATTTCTAGTCTGACGCGACACTTGAATGCGTTTCATAGTAACTTATTACATTTTCAAAGACTTTAGTTTACACACACACAACTATAACTTGCAAACACTAAACAGAGTTTAAACAGCTTTGATTTTATACCTACATTTGGGTGTGGTGATATGTTACAACATATCACGTGTTGTATAGGTGATATATGTTGTATATATCACTTGGGCATAGCATTTTATCAAATCACCTCATCCTTTGGGGCAACACGTGAGGAACACAAATGCGAACAAGCCTGAATGGTCCCCAGGACTACATGCAACTGAAAACTCATACCCCAGAAGTGACTCGAACCCATACTCCCAGGAGCAACGCAACTGGTATGTACAGGACGACTTAAACCACTTGACCATCACGACCGGACAAAAGGAAGTGATAGCCGAAGCTATTTGAACCACTTCCCTGCCGGCACTCGGATGGTTATCTTGGGCATAGCATTTTATCAAATCACCTCATTCTTTGGGGCAACACGTGAGGAACACAAATGCGAACAAGCCTGAATGGTCCCCAGGATTACATGCAACAAAAAACCAGTTGCATTGCTCCTGGCAGTATGGGTTCGAGTCACTTCTGGTGTGTGAGTTTTCAGTTACACATTGATTTTACTTTGTTATCATTTATTCTTAGTTGATACGTGTAGTCAGTTGCAAAGTAATTTATTTGTTTCATGCCAATAATTTGTTTTGATTGCAACTGTCTTACAGACCTTGATTTGCATTTCACTCTTATTGTTTGCATCTGTTTGTTCGGTCTCCTGTAAAATAATACATATGGCTAAAGGGTATTGAAAATCGTTATAAACAATATCTTACAGGGGTCTGAGCTTTAATTTGATTTGATGCAATACATTCACTTCAGTCACTAGTAAAGTGTATCCCTTATACATAACTTGGTATTCCATCCACATGTAGATTCCCGTTTATAGCAATCTATGTGTGATTTTATGCAGTTAACTGTAATATATATATAGTACTTAAAATTTGCATATGCATTATAATTTTGGAACATTATTATGGGGTAATTATATATTTCTTTATTAAATGAAGTACAATTAATTAAGATAATCTAGTTAGATTGGGAGGTATGGAGTCAACATCATAACACTGGGGACCAATTGTATGTGACATTGGAATACACATTAATGTTTATATTCATCTTTTCCCAGGACACTTCAGTACAGGTGGCACTGGGACTCCATCATCTGCAGGGTGCCTTTTACCTATTGATTCTAGGATGCAGCGTAGCCTTCCTCACCCTGCTGGGGGAGAACCTCACTCACTGCTGCTCCTCACCTCAGTAACACCCTACCCTAGCTCACCAGATCTCCAGCTAGGAATAATGGTGCTGGAAAGGAAGATCACTAACTAAATATTTAACAACCTAATCTGTCAACATATTTGGCGCATCTTTCACACCTGCAGCAAATGTGCATTTGGTTAAATAAATTACAATGAAAGTACATTTATCGTGTATTTATCAATTTACTATTACTGCTGTTATGTGAAAAGGTAATACCGAGCTGGTGGTATGCTTCACAGAGCAAAAAATAGCATTTGGCTTTAGGAGTGTGAATATAATGGACAAGAATTAAAGTATCAAGAAAAACACTCAAGAAGAATATAAACTAACTTAATTAAAACGTAAAATATTTAGCTTCAGTACTGGACTTACAACTTGGTATGTACACAAAAGTAGAAATAGCAATTAGATAATAATGGAAAAGTTACTCTTAAGACTCAGAAGAAATTATATTCAAACAAATCAGGCAGCACAACTTATATTACCACGACCTGAGGTAGAGGGTCCTTCAGCCTGGAGCACCTGAAGAGACTATCGAAAATCAAAGTCAAAAACCTCACCAGTATTGGACCGTTAATTACAAATGAAGGTACGTACACAGGACAACAAAGAGATTAGTAAAATTCTAAGAAACCAGTATGAGGCTATGTTTAGCACACCAATAAACATCCTGAAAGTTGATGACCCAGAGAGCTTTTTTATGAATGACATTCAAGCTGCAGATAATATAACGGATGGTAACACGAACTCGGAAGACTTTGAAAGAGAAATTACAATATGCCCATGCACTCAGCTCTTGGGCCTGACTCATGGAATTCAATATTCATAAAGAAATGTAAAGTACCAATAGCGTGAGCACTCAGCGTAATATGGAGAAAGAGCCTGGATACAGGGGAGATACCAGCTGCACTTAAATCTGCAGATATAGCTCCTCTGCACAAGGGGGGTAGTAATGCCTTGGCAAAAAATTATAGACCAGTTGCACTAACATCACACATAATAAAAGTTTTTGAAAGAGTGATTAGGAATCAAATTTCAAGTTTTATGAAAAATAATGAGCTACACAACCCAGGATAACATGGACTTAGAGCGGGCAGATCCTGTCTGTCACAGTTACACAACTACTGTGACAAAATCACAGAAGCTCCAGAAGAAAAGCAAAATGCAGATGTTGTATACACAGACTTTGCAAAGGCGTTCGACAAATGTGACCATAGGGTGATAGCACACAAAATAAGGTCAATGGGAATAACTGGT